GAAAATTTATAGATGATTTGAATTTCTTTATGGAAAAGTTATCCAATAATTTTCTTTATAAATTTTCCTTAAATTTTATTCAAATAATTTTTTTAATTTTAGGTTGTATAATAAAAAATAAGTTTTCTTATTCCTTAATTTAACCCATATGCAATTCATGTTATTGAAATTCAAGATTTCTTACTTATACTAAAAAGAAATTATCATTATTCAGAATCTCTTTTTATATAAAATAATCCATTACCATGTTTGAGAGATTTTATATTTAGGTATGTTGAAGTAGGAGGAAATAGAGGAGAGAGGAGAAAATCCTCATTTTCACATGTAAGCTTCACATGATAACATTAAGAAAAAAAAAAAATCTTCATACGACAATCAATTTACAACCATAACAAGTTAGTTTACCATAAAAATTCATTAATGGCATTATTAATATTTTAACCTAATAGCATTATATTTCAGTAATGATATAATTATAATATCATATAAGATTTTAAATTTATAATTGTGATGTATATGTGCATTTATATCACTAATAAACTCTTAAAATAAAAAAATAAAATATTGACACATCAAAATTATAAACTTACGAACATTATAAATTGTAAGTATATTGCTTTCAATTCCATTTTGCCAATTCCAACTAAAAAACACCTGCCTCAACATAATTCCTCTAAATATATTTACCTCCAAACAACAATTTTACTTTTATTGCCTTGTATATGTAAATAATAATATATTAATATCTCTACAATATTGGGGTTTTTTTTTTTTTTGAACATAAACAATTTGTTTGAACTAAGGGGGAAAAAGGGGTTGGTAAAGTTTAAGCACAATTTATCAAGTGAATTTCACATGTAGTTAGTGACTAACCCACTACACCTGTAGCGGAGATTTCTCTCTACAATATTGGTTTAGAATGGTCTGCTTTGTACATGTCATTCAAGATGCAAGAAAAGACTCCTCTTCTTACACCAACTCCAAGATGTGAAGTTTCCTCTGAAAAATTGAGAAATATTGTTGATTGAAGAACCAAGAACCGGCTCTAATATGGGAAATGAAGCAAGGCGATGTTTAAGCTTACCATGGTCCACAGATAACTTTCTTGTACAACCTAAATCCTAAGGTAACCCTCTCTTTCAGGACAGTTAAGGGTTCTCCTGATGAATGACCTGTTCAGAGACCAGCTTCTTTTTATTGATCTGCTCTTCTGCCAAGCAACAAAATGATTATAAAGGGCTGGGAAAATGAAGCATAGTAGCACCAGAAGCAGCATTCCTAGACAGAGTATAATCACATTGCGGAAACCATCTTGTAGCTTAGGGTCGTTTTGCCCAGTCCATGGCACTCCACCCACATTCATGCCAAACACTGATATGTGCATGAAAAAGTATGGAGTTAGCTATTGCTGTCAATGAATTTCAATAATAAGCAGAGCTTGAATCAAAGAGGAAGGCTTACCTCCAGTGATAATGGATAGAGGAAGAAATATTATTGACAGGATGGAGAGATAATAGAGTTTTCTGTTAATTTGCTCAGCTTGCCAACTATCCAGACCGGCTTGTATTGCAGTGACACGATTTGCTAAAAACCCTACATTTTCCTTTAGTCTCCTAAGACATCCTATCAACTCTTCGAGTGCGCTAATGTCCTCACTGGCAAACCAATGTTTTGAAGAGCATTTTTCCTTTACTCTTGGAAATACTGCCTCTCCATGTGCAATCACCTGAGTTAGGAAAAACACAAGCACTGAAGCACAGGAGTTTTATGCAAGTAAGTTTAATTTCAGCCATTAGAACAAAGTTTAAAATAAATGAGAATTTCAGCTAAATAACATTCCCACATAATCAATATGGAAACACAAAGAACACAACCACCTACAATTAGATCTTCAGTGGTTTCTTAAAACCTCATAGACAACAAAACTGAAGCAGTTTCCACCCATTAAATCCAATGTCTTCCAGAAGAGTCAAACTTCCTTCAAAGAAGAATAGAGGTTGCCTCGGTGGGTCATTCATGTCTAACGCCTTGCTTTATGTTTTCATGCTCTTCTAATCAATGCTTTTTATCATGGAGTTTGAGATCACTCCTCTAACAGAATCTAAGAATTAATAAATTGACCAGCAGACAACCCAAGTTTTTCACAATTTTTGCATTTCTGGCAAGGAAACAAGTAGGGCAGAAAAATTACCTGAAGGAGACGTTGTAAATTAAGATGCATTTTGGGAAATCTCCTGTCATCTAGCATTTGTTTCTTTAAAGTAAATCCACCTGAGATTCAGCAAATAGTCAGTTGACTTCATCCTCAATATAAGAACACAGTACTCATACAAGAATTATTTCCATACGGAAGTCAGGTGGACATTAACAGACTCTACAAAGAATAGGCAGGAACAACAAAATATCATATAAAGAGAAAGTAGAAACTATAACATATATAAGCTCATATGACTAAAGCAAAAAGAACAAGCATGGATGTAGAATGATGAATGAGTAAATAGGACATATAACAGAAATTTAATGCAATAAAGACAAAAGTGATTTTCAAGGGACAAGAGAAAGTCATGAACGAAAATTTCTGGCACCATTTGCATTACCAGAAAATTAATGTAGACTAGGACCTTGTTTCTCTAAGAAGTACTCTGATCAGTAGATAAATAATACAGTGAATAAAAAATTATGTTTGGAGAGAAAAACTGAGTTGGACCAAATGTACCTTTATCCAATTGAAGCTCCACTGAATCCAGTTCCATTTCGAGATTAGTCACAACATCTTGCAGTTGATCCACATGTGAGTCAATTATGTGAACAACAAGGTTTGAGACAGTATGTGGAACAGGATTGTCAGCCTCCTCAGAGTGGTTCATAGTCAATAAGAACTCCAGGACATGTTCTCTAATAACAATCCCACTACTTTCCTTTCTGTGACCGCTAAAGTAAGAGGGACTTTCCACACTAGGAATTTCTGAGAGAAGAGATTCACCAACTGGTGAGAAACCTAATCTGGGAACACGACCTAGAGACACAGTAATCACTGAATTCTCAGTAACTCTAGCAGCGAGTCTAAATGTAAAATTGCTATTGGCAGGGCCAGCTGAATTAACTCTAAAAACAAGGGCTCCATCAACATGTCCACAAAATGGTCCATTGCTAACAAGTGAAAGAATGTCTTGAAGCTTTAAAGGAGGGCAAAGAACATCTATAAGGTACTGTGCATATTGAGAAAGTTTCTGATTTCCTTTTGGAAGTTCTACATGATACCAACAAAACTTACCACCTGTACCTTCAACAAGATCCCACTCCTTGGGATAATATTTCCCCAACCCATCAAATATATAAGCTTTTTGCCTCACCATGCCCGGAAAACGTGTCCCAACGTGAGGGGCTGCAGAGGGAGGAGTACTGGAACCTGGTGGTATTTCCAATTCCTCCATCTCTCCATCTTCAATGTGTTTTCCCTCAACTAGCTCCATGATTTTATTCACCTATTTTGTCATCAGACAACACAATGACGCCCAATTAATTGACCTGATTGAATCAGATTTCCAACCAAGCAACTCTCAAAACCGCAAACCTACTATTCCATCCAGTCTTCCAATGGAATGGAGTCTAAGATTAATCAGTGCTGTTATACCCAGAAAAATGCAATCCCTTTCCCTACCCAAATCCCATGACATCTATGAATAAAGTTTCTCAAATTGAATTGAATGAAAAATAATGGCTTCAAACAACAGATAACCAACTCTTCAGATTCAAAACAAATTAGGCCGCTGATCAGAACTTTTCCCCAGAATTCCTGGTATTCATCCCCTACAAGAAACCACACTCAAATTCTCCATTCATCAACCCCCAAGCTATTTTCAAAAATTTCCATAGCCATGTAGCTCCAAGATATCCATTAATATAAAGAAAACAAATTAACAACCAAATTGAATAAAAATTTGTACCCATACATAAAAAAGAATCATTCATTAGACAGATTGCTTACCACCATGAAAATGTTGAAAACCAGAGTGCCGCTGTCAATCAAGAAAATCCGGTTGAGAATCCGCAAGTCCCATCACAAATCTCCCATAAAGAGAAAGTCCCAGTTGCAAAAAATCACCATTGACAAAGTCCCAAAGGCCGTCTGCGGCTTTTCGTTGAAGGTGATAATAAAACAACGGGGAGGTGTCGAAAGTTTTATATGTGTATTAAACCCAGTGTCAGAGGAAACCAGACGACATGAAGGAAAGAAGACGTGCAATGAGTAGTTTATCAGAAACTTCACATTCAAGAACTTATCTTTAACACCAAAAAATACAAAAAAAATCTCCCCAGAAATTTTTAAAAATGAGTTATTTTAAACACCATCGCAGAGCAGAGAAGAAGACAATGCCTTTTTTATTAATTACTAGGAAAAACAGAGGTCCACGTTAGATCTGAGAGGATTCGCTGAGGAAACTTTAACCAAAAAGAGAAAAGAAAAGAAAAGGAAGGAAATGAGAAAATATGGACGTTTGGGGTGGTGGCGTTAAAACAGGGTTGGCTTCTGCATGTGACCGGTGATTTTGTTTCTTTAATATCATCCTCCCATGTCTGGCCAAAAACAATATCGTGATCTCTTGTGTTGTGTACTTTCCTTTGTTGCCCCCAGCGG